TACTAGAAGCGATGCACTTGTTTCTAATAGCTTCTTGTTACTACTAGCAAGGCACTTGTTACTAGAAGCGATGCCCTTGTTTCTAATGGCTTCTTGTTACTAGTAGTAAGGCCCTTGTTCCTAGTAGCGATGCCAGGAGCCCCTATAGTAGCGTCCTTGTTACTGTTTGAGGAGTGGACCGGATGAGGTTCGGATTGAAAAAAGCTCCACAGCTCTAGTGTTTTTGGAGCGGAGGTCGCCTCCGGGGCGCCGTGGACACGGAGAGAAGAGGGAGTTGGGTCAAGGGCACATCGCACATGGTTCGTACTGCCTTCCATTTGGTTCGCTGGGGCCAGGCAAAGAGAAACAGCTGCAGCCTTGCCAGCTGTGTCATTCTTAAAGGGGACAACCAATAAAAAGCTGCGACCCATACAATATGATGATTAACTGATTAACTGTCCAAAGATGTCCAAAGATTACTGTCGATTTTATATGTATATAGCCTTGGTCTTCTTTGCAACTTAGACTTTACCCATGGGTTTTGCGTGCATTGACCGGGGCCAACGCAGCAAACAATATGGTCCCACTCGGATGTGCTCACCCTTCCAACTGAAAGACCCTCATCGACAGACCATCGGACCATCAGACCGACCCCTGTCAGCGAGATGCCGAGTTCCCATGCTGATCATCTAGACATAGACTTTTGATCTAAAACAATAAATCGACATGGATTGAAAGACCTCTTCATCTCAGGATTCTGCGGGGGGGGTTACTAATCAAGATTCTACATAATGTATTAATATACATCCGAGTCGCTAAAGGAGACCGCCGAGTGTTTGGGCGAGGACATGCATGAAAAAACGCTACGGCACATGACAAACAAACAATCCGTGTGTTCGATGTCTTCTTCGCACCCAAAGAACCCGTGTGGAGGTGGTGCGCATCGAAGCTGGGATGGTGATTGTGGAAACCAAAGATGTGGATCAGGAAGTGGGCAAAGACCTGGATCCTGAACACGAGAAGGCGGAAATCGAGGACGAAACGATCGCTTGTTGACCGGCGTGTTGCGTCGAATACCATGGGGGTCGTGCTGGTTGTGGCTCATGAGAGGACCAGAGGTGGAAGACAGTGCTGAAGCTCGGAATGAAGAGCTCCACGTCCACGTCATTGACATGTTTGTCTCTTTCTTCAATCCTTTGTATCTTTTAATTTTGATGTCAATCCTTCAATCCTATACCCATCCTTGGCCATTCCATCCAGATGTTTATACTCCAACTGGCTAACATGGAAGTGGACGGCATGTGAGATCACGAGTGATGTCCTCTACAAACAGGTGGTATTCACTCCACTTCCATGACAATTTCAGGGAGTGTATTCCATCCATGGTAGATGGTAGATGGAGTGTAGGTCCATCCATACATGACATGGTAGATGGTAGGGAGTCTATTTTACTCCAATCACTCCATCATGAGCAGCTTGGCTCCAGAAGCAGCTTGGCTTACACTCCACACTCTCCGCTCGTCTCTCCGCTGCGCTCTCCGCTCGTCTCTCCGGCTCCAGGAGTGGTTGGACGTGCCCATGCGTTTGGTGGGTCGCGTGATCGGCCGCAAGGGCGAGACGATCCGCAAGATCTGCGAGGAGAGCGGCGCTGAGCCCCGGCGCGGGTGAACGGACGGCCACGGCGCGGAGAGGAGGACGGGGAGGACGGGTTGCGACCTTGACGTTGTTTTTTTTCCCCAACAGTGTGGGCACACTGAGGGGTTCTTACGGTAAGTGAAAAGCAGACCTTACACACACACACTGTTTGGGGTCTCTTGCCGGGATAATGGAGGTTCCAACAGAACCTTGCGGCGCATGTTCGGTGATTTTCGATGAATGGTAGGGAAGTGAAAAACCTCGTTTGGTTTGTAGATGTGCAGGTCCGGAGTGGGTTTTAGCATGGTTCCGCGTGGGTGGGGTGGTGCAGTGCATGGTGCATGGTGCTGCGTCTTTTCCCCGACAATCTACAGGAATCGGACCTGTGGCAAAATGTGGCAAGCCTCAGACCGATCGTCGGTCCCACACTGTGGACGCTTCGCCTCGGCGGACACCGGTCGATGGTTCACCGCGGTTCTCCGAGGATTTGCGCTTTGACGAGACCGTTCGAGAAGAGCTAGGAGGAAACACCAAGAGGAAGACCACAGGCCAGGAAGCAAGAGAAGACTTAGAAAAGCCGCACGAAGCTGGGGAGGCAGACAAGTTTGAGATGGTTTTAAGGGTGTTTTTTATCCCCAGCATTACAACGTTTGTCTCTTCGTTTGAGAGCGGGTCTCCTCAGGTGGCACTGGAGATGATATGCGCAAGTTCTTGGAGGCAGCGCAGGAGGATGCCGAGCTCACAGCCAAGATGGAGGAGGAGTTCTTCGCACGACGGCATGCGGAGTGGATCGAAGCTGTCGTGCCGTTTGATCGCAGAGATCGACCCAGGGTCGAGGCGGAAGAAGGGGATGTTCTGAGAGAATGTTCAAAACAGTTCTAGCTTGGTCAAGCCGCGGCCTTGAGCCAAGGCCCGGCCTAAACGTGGAAAAATCGTCGATCCGCGTGAAAAGGGGGGTCGTTAGTTGTGTGGAAGCCTCCATGATTGTTGGAGTTTACTCTCCCTGGAACTAACATGGATCCAAGTGGAAAACACCGCCGTTTGTAGAGGATTTCATGGTCTTCCAAAAAAACATTCTCCACGTCCATGTTGGGTTCCAGAGAGTTGAAATCCTACCCTCACCAAAGAGAGGCCCACGTGCCGAAGCCGCAAGGAGCCCCAAGATGAGACAGCGGAGCCTGCCGACGACTTGCGGGCCTTCCTTGCAGAAGCACAGGTGCGCAGCGGGGGGGTTCAGCATTGGCATGTTTGGCGGTTTGGAATATGCATGAAGTCGCTTTAACTCGTCCACCCCTATTCCACCCCTATATCTATTATAATATCTATATATATATATTTTTTTGTTTTGGCAGTTCGCGGCATGTGTTGCCAACATTGGTCGCTAGCTCAAGGCATGCACAGCCCAACGGCTGTGGGTGCTTCATGCTTCGTGTTCAGCAACTGTGGAGGCCGATGCTCCACGAGCAGCGGAGATCGAGAATGAGGAGGAGGGAGAGGCACAGAGAGAATGAGGTTGTGTCAGCGGTGTTCATTGAAGCAACTAACTCCTGAGAAAAGGATCTCCATGGGTTTTACGGGGACCAGGGTGAAGGGACCATCGTTCATGTGAGATGCTTTTGAAGCTGATGCTCACAAAGTGCACTGTGCTTTGCACTGCAAATCTGCGAAGGCATCGCCCAAGATCCAAGAGAATCAAGATATACACTACGGGTGAAATCTCCTTTTTGGCCCTTGCCTATAACAAAAAGAGAATCCAGTGCCAACATGTGCCAACATCATGAAAATCACAATTTTGATCAATGTTGTTAATGTGTGGTGTTCTTGAGTGTTGGTTCATGTGTTTCTGGCAGCCTATTTTAGGATCTACCTCAGGATCCCAAGCCCCTCAACCCGAAAACCATCGATCCGCAGGTCCAAGAGGCTGCAGGAGATCTGGCCGCCTTCTTGAGGGCAGCCAAGGCCGACGAGGCCGAGCAGGCCGACCTCTCACAGCTTCCTGCCAGGCGAGACTGGCCGGACGATGACCGGCCGCGTGGTGAACGGGTGAAAGGGGGGGGGACATGGACCGTTGAAGAAAGGTGGTTTCCAAGGGATGTTTGAAACGAAAACACCAAGGGATTTGTTGGTGTTGTTCAACTTAAACACTGAAAACACCAAGGGATTTTTGAAACAAAGCGGTTTCCGGCAAGAAAAAGATGCCAGCCTCGCCATGTGGCCGTCTCGTCCCTTGCTGGGTCGTTTTTCGCCCAATGCGGCGGTGGGCTTACACCAAGACAAACGAACACCAGGAAGCTTCGGAAGACTGCTGACTGTCCCAGCTAATCCGGACAGGTGTTCCACTGCGTTGGCTTCTTCGCACTGGTGTGAAACCGGAAGACTTCTAATTCGAAGGCTCTTCGCTCTTCGCGAATCGCTGCGTTTCATCGCTTTTTCCATCGGGCCTGGACCCGCGACCTGACCCGCGACCTGACCCGCGTCGCAGGAGCTTTGTCCCCGCGGTGGAGTTCATCGCCTACTCCCTGGAGAACTGGGACGAGCTGCTGGGCGGACGTCCCGAGCGCGGGACAAGGGCCCGAGGTTGGAGCTTCCGAAGCAGGTCATCCCAGTTCTGGCCATGGAGAGGAGGTTCCACTGGGTTTGGTGCAAAAGGGATAAAAAAGGGTCAAGATAGCTGAAAGATAGCTAAAAATGAGACCCAGATGGTGGAGTGACATCCTGTGGGCATGTTTAATGCCCAGGCTTTGGTGTTGGAGGTGTCGGGCCGTGGCATTCACTGTCTCTCCATCGATGTTCGGGTTGGCAGCAAGCTGAGGGAGACTCCAAGAGAAGCCAGGCCGCGCAGGTTTGAAGTTTGCCAGTAAGTATTGCCGGTGTACCTAACAGCTCAAGAACCTCATTTCACTGGGTCCAGGAAAGGGCAGGATTCTCCAATTCCAGCCGTTCGGGCCAGGTTTGACTTGATGTTTGTTCAATGGTATAGGGGTCATGTAACCTGGAGAACTAGGATCGAGTGGGTGGCATCCACCAGGATCCAGTGATATGCCCTGGCTCACCTGGGTGACCTGCTCCCGTGGGATGTCGTTGGGCAACGTGAGGCTCCTCTATCGGAAGATGGGCGACGCCGGAGTCTCCCTGGTCTACCCTGAGAATCTGTCGATCACGGACAAAGAGGCATCGAAGTATGTCGAACTCTTGCGGAATTCGATGGATGGTTTTCTTGGCGTCGCACAGATCCGCGAGTCAGGAGCATCTCAGGACTTGGGGCAGGAAGGAACTCTACGGCTCTACCAAGACCTAAGCCCAAGAACACATATTGGGAAGTGATATCCAGCATGTCCCAAAGCGCAAAACCGTGAGACTTACTGTCAGACCGCCTCCTCCAGGAGACCGGTTGAACCAGTTCCAGCATGTTCCAGCCTCCTTCCAGTCGGTTTTTCTTTTTCCGGCTGTGTGGCGGCGCAGTCGTGCTGCGCCTTCAGCTCAGGGACAAGCCGTGGACATCGAGAAAGGCTTGAGGCAAAAGCATTTCCCCATCCGCGTGCGTCGCGTAGAGAAAAATGGGACTTGGGAGTTCGTCGGGAGTTTTCCCAGGGTGGAGGTGAGGTAGAGATAAATGTATTGCATGGAGGATCCACTCGGTACCAAAGCACAGATGTGCAGCAGAGGTGAGGAAGGGTGAGGAATGTCCATGAATGTCCAAAAATCTCCCGTCTTGGGATGGAAACCTTTGGGGAGCTCCCTGGGTCCAAAGCCCTGGTCCAAAGCAGTTCTTCTGCAGGGATGTTTCAGGTATGGTCCTTGTTCATGATGTTTTGTAGTTTAAAGTCACAGTGCTTAGAAAACCTCACGACATGTGCCGACATGTGCCGACCAAGGTGTGGCTTCACGGGATTAGACTGATTTTCCTTCTCAAAGAGATGCTGACATCAGATGCTCATGTAATCCCTGGAAGTCCAGTCCATGACTTACACGTACACAAGAGACCCACGTGGAACCTGATGGCATGGACCAGACTGGAAGACGATGTTCCGAATACAACCCGATGTGGTGAACTCAGGTTCCATGTGGGTCTCTTCCAGAGTGTCTTTCACAGAAGTGATGGATCATCGTAGGTTCCGGAGGGTTCCACGAACTCGTTGTCAGTCCACCGAGTCCAAGGTCCCACTGCATTCCGTTGCATGGGACCGGCGCTTTGACTCGGGAAACATCTAGTAGATGTGTTTTGAAAGTTGGGACTCGGTGTCCTGAAACGATCTACATGGCAGGTTCCAACCACCTAAGCCAACGTTGGTTCCTTTTGACATGTTGGGCGGTTTCATTCATACTAGGGCCTTCTCCAAACCTGTTCACTTCTCTCTTTGTTAGACCGGGTGCAAGCAGTAGGGAATGAGGGTGCAGTTCCTCCCCATACATACGCTTGCGTAGGAAGACGCCCCATGTTCCCGCCATCCTTTGTTCCCTTTGTTCAACGCGCATCCGTCAGCTGCCCCAATCCGTCCGAATGCCGCGGGGCGAAAGAATTGCTTTGGACCCAAAGAAACAGCTGAGGTTATATCCTGACCTCGGACACCTACGTGAAAGACTTGAAGCCTCAGGAGAGGCATGGGTCACGGTCACACGAAACCGTTCCCGGTGCACGCGTGAAACCGCTGCGTTCACCTCTGTTCGCTCTAGTAGAGCGCTCCACCGCGCTCGGTCGGTTTGGAATCCGCGAAGTGGACATATGCGAAAAATTCCCTGGTTTTGCTTCGATTGGTCGTGAGATGTTGTCTAACAGGGTCTTTGATTGGTAGACTGGTCTATTTCGCCTTTGTCGGGGGGTCGAACTGGGCCTCCCTATTACACATCCGTATAGCATATAGGGTGATGTTTATTGTTCCAGTTCGCCTGGCCATGGGGAAGATGTGCTCCTGTTCGCCAGTTCCTGTTGAGCCGCAGCTATCTATGTTCGTGGCTGTCCCATGATTCACACCAGCTGCCGCAACTCCGCAAAGTGTCTGAGGCAGAACTCTTTTCAGAGTTCTTTCAGAGGACCAAAGCCTTGGGACGAAGCCTGTTCGCAACGCCCTACGTGGGTGTTCTTTCAGGAACAGCCAGCATTTGATCCGCCGGAACGGCGCAAGATCACCTGTTTGGGCTACTGAAATCAAACAGAGAAAGGTAAGTCCCTTTCTCTACCTAATTCAGAAAGGGTGTCCAACTCTTGATGAACCATGCTTCAAGGCCATTCAAGAACCCAGTTTGTGCATGTTTTGCCCCAAATCAGTTTCTAGATTAACTAGCCACTAGCTGCGTGTGCGGATTTGCCACAGTTTCAACAAATTCAGGTGCAGTTTCACAGACTTGACCCAACGAATGCAGTGGAAGAATGTGGAAGAGCCTCCCACAGGATTGTTGGGAGATCACTGCCGCAAAAACCAGAAGCGCCTCTGCCCATCACTGACCTGGGCGCAAGCCCAACGCCCTTTCTGTCCAGCCCCCTTTTTCTGCCATCCGGATGGGCGACCGATGGCGAGGAGGAGGCGAAGAAGGAAGATGCAGAGGTGAAGGTCAAGGAGGAAGAGGCCCCAGAGGCAGAACGAAGCAACTTTGCATCGGGTGGCTGCTCAATCTGCTCAATAGATAGAGACCCGCAAGCCCCATAGGTGAAAAAGACTAGTGACTAGAACTGCAAACTGGCCGGGCATGGTACTCTACAGACGTTGTTCTGTATGGTGAGAATGAGGATCTTGGGGGGTTCACAACTGTTTGGACTGTGAGATGTTCTCCGAGGACTAATTCCATGGCGCTGTGTGGGTGGGTGTTTCAAGATGCTATTTGGTGTAGTCCCAAGCATGCTCAAGCGGCCAGGGTCCTTTAATGGGTCCATCTATTTGTGTATCATGAGGGACACCGGGACGCAGTCTTCGCAGGAGAGGAAGAACACAAAGCCAGCCAAAGCCTCTGTGAATAGGACGGCCGGTCACGACTCGCATCACTCGCAGTGGAGCATTGTCAGGGTTTGGCGGATGCCGGAGGCAGTTTCCAAGGTCCGGGAAGGTGATTGCTCTTTGAAGTGATGAATTCACGACCGGCCTGTTTGCGATTGCGGTCGCCAATAATCCGTGATCGCACCAAAGCTGACGGCGCCGCAGTAGCAGAAGCTGTTCAAAGCCACAGGATCTTTCAGAGATCAATGTCACAAACCCCCAACGCACTATCACTGGGGCCTCCTCGATTTAAGTCGTATCAACTGGAGGAAAGTTGTGTCAAGGTGTGCCCTTGGGGATTGACTCATCTATGGATGTTTATTGCTGCGCTTGAAGCTCAATATCTCACAACTTGAATTGTGATGAACTTGGGGAAGACTGGAGGACTCCCTCCGCAGAGTCGTTCTTGACAAGAGAGTGACCTTCAGGTTACCAAGTCCGTCACTTCAGCGTTGCTACAACAGACTCCTCCTCACTACCACTACCTCCACCTCTAACTGCTACCCAACAGACCCCTCTTGTGCGAGGAAGGACGCGATCTACGTCAGTGGTTTGGAGGGTCTCTCCAAAAAGCAAGTCTTCGAGGTGCGACGTTTGTTTAATCGTGTTTTCTTATTTTATTATTGTGTTTTGCCCGCGGTGGAGGCGTAGCCCGCTAGAAGAGGTAGTTAGTAGCTCAAGAAACTCCTAGGTAGGACGCGGGATAGCTGACGCTTCTATTCATTTGGATTGATTGGGTTCTGGTGTCCTTGACCAGGATATATAGTTCAGATCGTCAATGCTTTCTCGCCATGTTTCCAACCTAATAGCGATGGCCTCTAACCTACGAGCGATGGCCTCCAACCCAATAGCGATGGCCTCCCTCTCCAAATGTCTCTGCAAACTAAAGATAAAGTATGATGCCTCTTTTAAACAGTAAGACAAAAAAATGACATGAATGAGAGATAAAGTATGCATCCTACAATCCCACATCAAATGTTTGATGCGCGTTCTCTCCTACATCTTCCGTTTTTCACATCAAAAGAAGATCCACCGTTCTTCATGTCTCTCCAAGTCTCTCCGAGTCTCTGCGAGTCTGACGTTCAGGTCTTCAAGTCCAAGTCACTACCTTTGCCCTTGACCGTGGCCCCTCAGCAGCAGCTGGCGGCCTAACCCAGCGAAGTCTCCCCCCACCGGACATCGGCCGGAGTCACGTCGAAACCGTTTGCGACCCAGGTCCCAAATCAAAGACCTGAAAGACTGGGGAGCTTCTAAGACAGGTTCCTCATGAAAAGCACCTCCCCGCCCAATGGGGAGGGCTCTTTTCGGCGGCCGTCCGCCGCACACGACTCGTCGCTCGGACGAGTCGTTGTACTGGACGTCGCTCCGTGGGTTCCCGGTGTGAGGGTCAAATCAGGTGAGATCTGGCAGACTCCAAGGGTTGCTTTGGCATGAAATCGCATGACCTTGTCTCTTTTTGAGATATGACATCCAGTCTCACAACCCTCCACTTTGAGATGACATCCAGTCTCATCAGGGGCAACCCTCCACACCTCAGGATCGCGTCTCCTCCTCCGACTCCATTTGTGTCTTCGCCGACGTGCAAGATGCGCAGACGGCCATGGGCGCGATGGAAGCTCATGGCCACGGGGTGCAGGTCAGGGGCGAGAAGAATGGGTTGGTTTGCAGATGTGAATCAGTTTAAATGCAGGAATCAAAAAGACTAAGGGCAAGCAAGAACATGAACTCCCTGGGTTTGAACGTTGTTCATCCATTTTCCCGCCCATCCACAATTCAGTAATAGGCTCACTGAAGTCCTTCCAACACCTGCACCTGCTAGCAGAAACATCCAGAAACAGCCCAGGTAATTGGTGTCTTAAATGGTTTTGGGATGTTTTGGGTTGTTTTTTCCTGAGTCTTGCAAGACTCATCTTGGATATTTAGAGAGAGTATCCTGTTCATATTTGTTCCATTTCGGCAGAGTCCGCCTGGGCATGTAGGTGCGTCTGGCAACCATGGCCGAGATTCGACAGAAGGCCTTCAACAGGACGGCAGCGGGCGTCGGGCGTCGCATCTTGGGGTCAGAGAAGTCGGGTCAGGTGGAACGTTGGGTCACGCAGTGTGAGGTCAGTGTACTCGGAAACGGGGTCGGAGTCATGTTCTGAAGGCATGGGCGTGGCGTGTGTGTTGGCACGCGCAAACGGCCTGCTTTGCCTGCTTTGCCTGCAGGTTCAAAGAAGTCCCCAAAGAGGAGTTCATGCGTTTGCGCATCAACGGCCTCTGGTCTCAATGGGACCCAGAAGGTCGGAACCTGGGTGGGAGACCCCTAGGTGCAAGAAAAGCCCACCATCCCAGAGCCCTTGTTCAGTATTTGAGCACCTTTTTACAGCCTCAAATACTGAACATTAGTTCCACTGGCATTTCATGCGTCAACACCAAGCTCAACCGTCCGGTTGTTTTGTTGAGTGGGTTCCATTTCAGTCCGGCATCCTGGAAGTCTGGACTCTACCAAACTAGAAGATGGGGAAAGAGTGGTGAGCCCCACAAAGCACGACTGATTTCTACACGTTTCTACACCTGTTGTATTTTGAGGGGTCCTTTGAAGGGTTTGCTCTGGATCGACCTTGCAGCTTTCTTGATGGTTTTCTCTTCAATTCACGCAGGCCTCAGACTCAAAGTTCCCTGAAGTGAAGAAAGACACTCAGACTCGAATGTCACCCGTTCGGTCGGAAGCGAAGATCGGCGTTCGGAAGTCGAATCGACCGGTGTTGTTGTTCGACGTTTGGA